TATATATGAATCTACCTGGCTGCATTTTGTACCATCTCAGTAGGAAAGTCAGCACACAACAGCTGTAAAAGTGAACTATATTCTGCCATTGCCAACAGATCTGCAAGAAGAAACAGTCGTATTTGTTCACTGTAAACACACCAATGCAAGCAATTAATGTAAAGAGTTATAGCTTGACATTAAAAATGATAAGAGGATTTGCCTCTGCTTACCCCCATTCTTTCCAATCTGTCTGAAGCATTTCCAGAAGATATGGATGAAGGACTCTCTGTTGTGAGAAGTCGCCTTGATGTAACTGAATTCCCTGAAGAGCACATGATTCCCATTCTTCACACTGGTAAAACTGTAAAATTATATTATATTTTGGAACATGTAACATGGTATATATCTGTATTTAAAAAAACATATATACATATATTTAAATATTTAATATACAAATAAAATATTATAATATAGTAATAAATAAGAAACGAATAATACATATTTTACATATATTGTTATTATTATTCATTTCTATTAATAGCTGTACAGCCAAAAGTGCTAAATGATAACAACTTACTATTCTGCAAAATATCGGGCCACACCAAACTGAGTGTATTCCTCTTTATGTTCAAGTAGCTGTGTGACTGCATCGTTGAGATAGAAGAGGACATTCGTTTCAGCTGGAAAGTAAAATGAAACGGCAATGACATGACAGTAGTGTGTTCATTCTTTCCAATGCAACTGTCAATCGTTCTGCGAGCAGGCATCTTGGAACCGACTGCAGTTTAGTAATCTACGAACCATCAAAACATCCACCCAAGCAATAATAACCGAACCATACCTAAATACTCGTCAACAGTGAGGTTGAATCGATCCGTATTCATTTTCATGGTGTTTTATGGAATTAAATGATTAGTCTAAACTGGGATGCAGACGCGGTGCATGACTCCATTCAGAATGGAGTCCCTAAAGCTGCTTTAGCGGTCAGTGTGCCCACTCTGCACTGCGCCAGACACAGCGCACCAGAGTAAGTATTCATGCGTACAGTTTCTTAGGGCTCAGTGCTAAAATTTCAGGTAAAACGTTATATTAATCCATTTAAATAGATTTTATTCTCTTATTTAAACAGTATAGGATCACTGGAAGTCGATATTTGGGTTTTTTCCCGAAACATTTATTTTGTATTTGTGTAAGAACCTCAGTCTCCTTGCTAAAATGAATCCAGGGATGTAAACCAACCAATAGACGACGCGGTAGAGCAGCACGTGACACAACACGGAAGTGAGCGCTGGGTGGAGTCTCGCCCTCTTTTTTGAAAAAATGCCTGGCCGTGTTTCGTCAGTTTTTGTTGATGCAGCCGCGGCTATGGAAACCCGCGCATGCGCAGCGCAGTTCGTGTACATATCAGTTATTCACTTCATTAAAAAGCTACATTTTATTTATCGCAAAAATGTAATAATATAATTATTTATAAATAATTAATAATTGGCATTTTATATATATATATATATATATATATATATATAAACTAAATGGAAATGAAATAATATATATATTGAATTTATAAATGTGTATGTACATATACAGTATATATGTGTGTG